ATTCTGGCTACTTGGAGGGCTGAGGTGGAAGGATCACCGGAGCCCAGCAGGTCGAGGCTGCGGTGGCCGGGAGCAGCCACTGCACTCCAATCTGGGTGACAGAGTGAGACTCCAACTCAAAAAAAAAACAAAAAAAAAACACACATTTGCAACAGTGTATGGAAGTTTTTAAAATTATAAAAGTTACAGGGTGAACCTTATAAAGAGCCGGGTGCTTTTTGTTGAAATCTGACCAATTCCTACCTTTCCCAAAACAAGTCCTATAAAGGAAAAAACTCCTGTTCACGTACTGCAAGGGGGTCATTCTCAGGTGTGGAATGAAAAGGGTCCTTCCCTGTCCTGATATAGAAAAGCTGAGTCTGAGCCAAAAAGAAGCAGACAGAGACCAGACCCAGGGTGAGGGAGATTGCCATCTTGGTTTTTGCTCCCCTCACAGCTTTCATATAAGTTAAGAAGAAGGGGAAATAAATCTTCAGACAATATCATAATTATGGAATTTAAAGTGGCAGAATAGAATCAGCCAAGCCTGGCTTTAAACATTAGCTCCAGGACTTACTTTGTGCCAGGCACAGTTCTAATCACCTTAACTGAGGTAATCTTCGCAATTACTCTATGAAGTAGGTACAATGATCATTATTCTCCTCACTCCACAGATGGGAAAGCTGAGATGAAGACCTGAGATCACACACAGCGAGTTAGGGGCAGAGCCTAGTTTTGAATCCAGAATCCCCAACTTTTTTTTTTTTTTTTTTTTTTTTGAGTCAGAGTCTCATTCTGTCGCCCAGGCTGGAGTGCAGTGTCATGCTCATGGCTATCGCAGCCTCAGCCTGCTGGGCTCAGGCGATCTTTCCCCCTCAACCTCCCAAGTAGCTGGGACTACAGGCACGTACCACCATGCCTAGCTAATTGTTTCCCAGGCTGGTCTTGAACCTTGGGCTCAGGCAATCCTCTCACCTTAGTCCCTCAAAGTGCTGGGATTACAGGCATGAACCACCGTGTCCAACCCAGAATCCCCATCTCAATCACTGTGTTAACCTGGCACACAGCAGACATTCAGGAAGTGGTAGTAACTGTGACTATGAGTAATAATGTTCACCTTCTCCCTCCCCGCTGCCCACTGGGCCTTTGACTCACCCCTTTCTCTCCAGATTCCTCTCCTAGAAAGCTAGGGTTCCCAATGACCTGCCTGCCTTCTCTCACTGTGGGTTCAGGGTTGACCAGGGCTGTGTCAGCTCTACCAGCCATTCCTGTCTTTCTGCAGGACTATGGCTACCTTGTATAGTGACCCTGACTGGTCCTCCAAAAACCTGGAGCCTGCTGTCTTCGAGGCCCGGAGACACGTGGTCAAGGACAAGATGCCCTCCCTGTTCCCAGACCAGCTCTGCAAATTCCAGGAAGAGCTTCGGCAACGCAGCCAAGAAGGCTATAGGGTCACCTTTACAGACTTCTGGGGCCTGCTGATTGAGTCCTGCCTGGGGGATGAGGTAGGCACTCAGTTTGTCCCGGCCCCACCCTCCCTGACTGATGTCCAGCTTGCTTTCTTCATCGGGGGAGTCTGGACTTCCATCATGCAGAGGGAGTTAGTTCAGAACTACAGGTGTACCCTTGGGCTCTAAGAACCAGAAAGTGCTAGAATCCATGATGAAGGAAGAAGGTGGGATTGTCTGCTACATGCCCTTTACAAGATGACCGAGACCCTAGTGTTGTGGGCAAGCCTGCCTAGAGGCAGCATGTCCTCCAAGAGCCATGCCAAGACACGGGTGGGGAATGCTGGAGAGCCATGAAACCATGATACAAGTCTGACTCTAGAAGGGGGAGAGGACGAAAGGTCAGGTGGAAGCATCCTAGACTGCTATGCAGTCTAGGAAGGTTCCACAAGGCCTTTGGAAGATTCTCTAGTCAAAGTTGGCTATCAGAGGAGTTCTGTGTCTCCCAGAATGGGCCTTCCTCAGTACCCTGCCATAATAAGTCACAGGCAGTGCGGCTTCAGCACACTCAGTTGTGGATTTGAGAGCACAGCAGCTTCAGCCCTTAGTCAATAACGTTCTGCTGTTGGAGGTCTGCAGGGCTCATTCTTGTGGCCACCACACAGGGAACAGACCCTATCAGGTTCCTTCCTGCTCCGAGATCCAGTGATCCAAGAAATATGCCCAACAAGGGAAACAGCCTGTGCTGGGACACAGCTGCTGTGAGAGCCGTGTGGGGCATGGTGGAACAGGGGATGGGGGGTCCCCAAGGGATGTTGTGTCTTCCTGGATACAAGGGTGGACTCAGCTAACACTGGGTCCTTCGGGCTGCAGGCCCCAGAGGTGAAGCAACTTTGGTTTTTGCTTGGCTTCAAGGAAGCATCCCACCTAAGCTCTATCCAAACCCATGGTTCACTGCCCCACACCCAAAAGTGTCTGGGGAATCCTGAATTCTAATCAGAACTTGCCAGAAGAAGGAAGGGCAGCAAATTGTTTCCTTTTTTTTTTTTTTTTGAGTTGGAGTCTCACTCTGTCGCCCAGACTGGAGTGTAGTGGCCGTTCCCGGCCACCGCAGCCTCGACCTGCTGGGTTCCGGCGATCCTTCCGCCTCAGCCTTCCAAGTAACTGGAACTACAGGCGCACGCTATCATGCCCGGCTAATTTTTTGATTTATTGTAGAGATGAGGTCTCGCCTGCCCAGGCCGGTCTCAAACCCACAGGCTCAGGCAATCCACTCACCTCAGCCTCCCAAAGGCGCGGGATTACGGGCTGAGCCACGGAGCCCAGCTGCAAATTGTTTTCCAGTAGGTCCTCTCTTCCAGAACACCAGACAACTGAGGAAAACCCCACCCTCATCTTCAATATTCACTCATTCCATCATTCATTCTTCTAACTAAATTAGTTAAGCACCTCTGGCATACCAGGAACTATGTCGGCCAACGCAAATTCAGAAAGGAATCAGACATGGCTTTCAACACAAAGTGCTCACTGCTTCTGATGAATTCCACCCAGCCTGCCCCTGTGATAATCCACCACATAGCCTGTCCTCATGACGAAGTGGGGCAGACACAGGCTGAGGGCACTGGCTTTTGGATTTGGGCAGGACGGGGTGGAACTCCTGACCCTGCTCTGCACTGCTCCTTAAGTGGGGATTGCATCAACAAGTAGCAATTAATATTTTAAACAATGTTTTAGCAATAACGTTTTAACAGTAGTTAGTGCTTCAGGTGTCTGAGTATTTGGGGTATTTGGCATAGGGAAGAGCTGGAGTTGGAAAGGAGGTTGATGTTGGAAGCCCTCTGTCTTCCACTCTGGCCAAGGTGAGAGCCCCTTTTCCTTGGGCCCCTTGAGAGAGAGCATGGACTGGCTCTTCCCTGAGTCTGTAACTTTACTCCCAGGACATCAGCTCTGTGATGCCCAGATCTCTGTTTACCTTCAAAGGAGACCCATGCATCCTTGGGCCCACATGTGTTTGCCATCCCACACGGGCACCATAGCCTTTGCACAATTGTGTGACCAGGATCTGTCATGACCAGGGCCTGTCACCCAACAGGCAGCTGCTTGTCCTGGGCTCAGAGCCTGGACCCCTAAGACCTCAACTCTGCCTCATCTGTATTGGCTGATTCACTTTGGGGGGTGACCTGTGGCCCAGACTGATCTGCAAGGCTCCCCACTCTTGGGACTTAGAAGAAGCTCGGCCACCACCTAGTGATCAGGTTCCAAGCCTTTTGTTAAAAAAATAAACTTCAGCCGGGCTCGGTGGCTCAGCCTGTAATCCTGCGCCTTTGGGAGGCTGAGGTGAGTGGATTGCCTGAGCCCACGGATTCAAGACCCGCCTGGGCAGCGAGACATCATCTCTACAATAAATCGAAAAATCAGCCGAGCGTGGTAGCGCATGTCTGTAATTCCGGCTACTTGGAAAGCTGAGGCGGAAGTATCGCCGGAGCCCAGCAGGTCGAGGCTGCGGTGGCCGGGAGCAGCCACTGCACTCCAGTCTGGGTGACGGAGTGAGACTCCAACTCAAAAAAACAAAAAAATTTTAAAAATTAAAAAAACTTCTGGCCATTGCCTTGCTAAGCTATGGTGTGGCCATAGCTCTCTGAGCTATGGCCAGGTCGTGTTTTCTTAAGCTTTGGCCCCCTCCCCTACCTTGGGAAGTGAATCACCTCTTTCTCTCTGTCTCTAATTTACTTTCTAAATAAACTGTATTCTCTAATTTAAAAAACAAAACATTTTTTCTCCCAAACTAGCTTTATGAGGGAGTCAAACATGCCAAGCTGATTAAAAAAAAAAAAAAAAAAAAGGAGCTGCCGGAGTGTGAGCAGGGAGGAAGATGATGGGGCTGAAGAGGGACAATGGTAACCTCTCCCACCCCTTCCTCTTTACCCACCGGCCCCTGAGCCCAAGAGGACCCTGGGACTTGAGGGACGGCCCTAAACTGTGGATCCAGTCCCACTCCCAGTCCACATGTCTGGGTGGTGTACATTCCACGGGTGCATTTTAAGAGCAGGCTTGGCTGGGGTCACCTGGGGTCTTCGTGGCAGCCTGGAGGGCTCAGGAGCCAGGAAATGGCTGCAGAGGTTCAGTCTGTCTTCTTATTCCGCCTGCCACCCTTCACCCCAAGCCGCTTGGCTTCTTCTACTCCTTAATCATTTTGTTTCCTCACAGAGAAATGAATGCAAGTTGTCCGAACAGCGTGCTGCTTTGTGCCGGGGCCAGAATCCCCTGCCCATCTACCTCACCATCAATGTCAAGGATGATGTAAGCAACCAGGACTTCAGAGGTAACACTGGTGGCTAGTGATTTATGGGGCAGGGGAGGGGCCTCCTTTCTTGGAGGGCTAAGGCACCCAGCACCTCCAGGTCCTCCACCCCCACCTACCTTTGCCAATCTCCACATCAAAAGACTGTGCTCCCTGCTGAAGAAATCAACTATGCCTTCTAGTCGGCCCTGCAGATGAGTGAGGCCGGCAAGCACTGTCCTGGCTTCCCTGGGCGCGTATTTGATGGAACTGGGGGAAGGAAGAAGTACTAGATGTTTTTTAAGCTGCCCAGAGGGAGGAACCCTAGAGATTTGCCCTGCTTCAGTACGTCTGGGTCCTGGTTTCTGTCCTGCTTTGAGGAGCAAATGAGCTGTCCAAGTGGCAAAGCTGTCTTGCTGGGCCAGCAGAAGCCGACGGCGGCGCCCCCGTGTGTCCTGGGGGGGAACTGCGGCCTCCCTGTCCCAGGCTCTCCAAGGCTGGGGAGTGGGAGAAGGAAGCGGCCGAGGGGCGTCCCCTGGCCTCAAATTGACCCCCCCACTTCTGCCCTGCTGCTTCATCGCAGAGTGGTGCGAGTTCTCCCCCTACGAGGTGGGCCTGCAGAAGTACGGAGCCTTCATCCCCACCGAGCTCTTCGGCTCCGAGTTCTTCATGGGGCGGCTGATGAAGAGGATCCCTGAGTCTCGAATGTGCTACATGCTAGGTGACTCCGGCTGGGGGATTCCCCTGGGCACCCTGCCTGCCTTTAAATTAGAGGAATAACAGGGAGGATCTTGTCCCATTGTTGAGATGCCTTGAGTCAGCCCTTGAGCATGTGGGCCTCCTGGCATTTCCTGGCATCCCCTCATCCTAGGAGAAGCTCCCGAGCCCACCCCCAGATGGGCCTCCAGGACTGCCCTGAACTTCCTGCGACCCTTTGGGCTCAGAAGGACATGAAAAGGACCTCAAATCACTGGGGAACCAGAGGGGACTCTCCAGTGGTCTCCCTGGGGTCCACTCAGAACCACATTGGGAGTGTCAGGCTCAGATGGAAGCTTCTGACTCCCGCCCCCTCCCCATCTGACTTCAGGCAATGGTGTACCTGCTTCCAGGGGCCAGTCCAGCCCTAGGATCCAAGGGACTAGAGAGACCACAGGATAAAGGGCAAAGTTGCCAGGGAAGCCCGGCCTGGCCTCCTACCCTGAGCACCTTGGTTCTTCAGAAACCAGGGCAGGGTCCTGACTACAATGCCCACTCTTACAGTTCCTCCCTTCAACTACACCTATCAAAGTGCAGCCTCAAAAACAGACCCATGTTCCCAGCCTCAACAACATGACCTTATTTAAACTAGTTGTTGAAATAAGACCCAACTCGGCCGGGCATGGTGGCTCATGCCTGTAATTCCAGCACTTTGGGAGGCTGAGGTGAGAGGATTGCCTGAGCTCACAGGTTCGAGACAAGCCTGGGCAACTAGACGAGACCTCATCTCTACAATAAATCAGAAATTAGCTGGGCATGGTGGTGTGTGCCTGTAGTTCCAGCTACTTGGAAGTTTGAGGCAGAAGGGATTGCCTGAGCCCAGCAGGTCGGGGCTGTGGTAACTGAAAGCATGCCACTGCCCTCCAGCCTGGGTAACAGAATGAGACTCCAACTAAAAAAAAAAAAAGTCCCAACTCAAGCCCTGTATTTTCTTTGAAGCCTGCCCAGAAGCCCCCAACCCACAGTGACCTCTCCTTTCCCTGAACACCTATGCTGTTGAGCATATGGTTCAGAAACCTGTAGTTAAACACTTGGGCTTGAACTCTAGTTTCTCACTTCTAGCAGTGTAAAGTGAGCCAAATTACCTAACCTCTCTGAGCCTCGGTTTTCACATCTGTAAATTGGGCTTAAGAGTAAAAGCTATCTTATAGAGGCTCCTCATGGGTCCATGTTTCATATAAGCATTGTTATTTGTGAGTTACATTTAAAAATCATAACGATAGCAAATAGCATGACATTTGCTGTGATGCTCACCATGTGTCCTGCATGCTTTAGATGGATTAACTGATACGAGGGATGGCATCTGGACTTGAACTCAGAGCCTGCACTTGTCAGCATCAAGTCCCTGCTGGGGCTGTACTTTATGTACCTTCACACCTTCTCCTGGTACTGAGGAGAGGGAGAAGGAGGAAGAGGAGGGAAGGGAACTGGGACTATCAGTCACTGTGTTGAGCGTCAACGTGGAGAGAGGGAAATCAAAATCAGTCTCACCCTGAACACCCTGGCTTGGGGGAGGAATCAAGGCCAAGGCAGAACAGCCAGCGTGAGGGTGGGCCCGGGGTTCCTGGACAGAGCTGCTCACGGCCGCCGCGGTTCCCTAGGTTTGTGGAGCAGCATCTTCTCGCTGAACCTGCTCGATGCTTGGAACCTGTCCCACACCTCGGAGGAATTTTTCCACAGGTGGACGAGGAAAAAAGTACATGACATCGGTGGGTGACCCATTGGCTTCCCTCCATGGTTGGGAGGTGGTGGGGGTGGTTGTGGACCATGGGACCAGGCCATCTGCCACATGTTTCCACCTTGTCCCTGTGGCCTACAACATGGGAAGGAAGCTGGGGCTAGAAGTCATCCCTGCCTGAAGGGGAGGGTGACTGTAGATGACCTGTGCCAAGGCCCACTGGCAAGCCTCCAGGTGCCCAGATGATGAGGGTAGGGAACTAGAGCACAGTTATAGGTTGCTCTTCTAGACTCTCCATCTTCTCTGGGACCCTCCTTACCTTTCACCTTCCCTCTATCCCCCATTCCACACCTCTCACCTGAGTCCTCCTGACTCCAGAGCCAGAGCCTTGGGAAGGTATGAGCTGCACTTACAGTGGCTCACCCTTGAACTCTAAGGCAACCATGCAGGGCTTCACCTGGACAATCTGGGAACCCTAACTCTGTGACCTGCCCTCCATCCCCCATTCCCCTGCAGAAGACGAGCCTATTCTGCCAGAAATCCCCAAGTGTGATGCCAACATCCTGGAGACCACGGTAGTGATCCCGGGGTCATGGCTGTCTGATATTTTTCGAGAAGTTCTCACCCATCGGCCTTTCGTGTCCGAGTTCCACAACTTCCTGTCAGGGCTGCAACTGCACACTGGCTACCTCCGGAATGATCAGTTCTCCATGTGGAAAGGTAACCTTGCCTGGCTGCTCCCCGGGGCCTGCCTTTGATTGAGGAGGAAGACATGGATGTTGAGACTGCCTTGGAGAAAGAATGAGAAAACACCTCTGAGCATGTTCATTGGGCCAAGAGACAGACTCTCACCTATGGTGTATTTGGCATTCGGTGGAGTCGTCTTGAAGGGTTTATGGGTCTGACAGCAAGGAGTGGTGTGGAAATTAACTCACTGAGTCTTTACAGCACCTCTGTGCAGCAGTCCCAACAGTCCAATTTTACAGACGGGGAAATGGGGCCCTTACTTTCTGCAGCTGTGCTCTGGTGGTGTCTTCATGTGAGTGGTGCCCTTGGAACTGGGCAGGCATGACCCACCCAAGAACCCCAAGTGGTAAGCTGCAGAGCCAGGCCTTAAATGAGGTCTTGTAGTTTTTCCTCAGGGCCTTCTCCCCTGGTGCTGAGGCTCTAAGGTTCACATTCCATCTTGATTTTATGAAGCCACGGCCTGCAAATAGCTGCCTGAGCCTGGCCTATTAATCCTCATCCTCACCGACTGGGTCCAGAATTGAAACTATTTATAGGCGATCTTGAGCCCCTAATATTCCACATCTGGGTCATAGTGGGTTTTCTGTGCATATCCCATGCAAGACTTGCTAAAAGACCAGTAAAAATGTTGTTCTTCATTAGCCTGTCCACCTGAAAGGGCAGTGGGACTCAGCATGCTGGTCAGAAGAGGCGGGCTAGAGGCCAAGATAAGTGAAGGAAGTTCCAGGCGGGGCACTTCGTCCCCTCCAGGTGCCTCTGCCCATTGGCTGAGATCAGGGCACCAGGCGTGTTGGTAACGGGAAGACTTGGTTTTCAGACACAGTGCTTGATGGTTTCCCAAACCAGCTGACAGAGTCCGCGAACCACTTGAGCCTGCTGGACACCGCGTTCTTCGTTAACTCCAGTTACCCACCCCTCCTGAGGCCGGAAAGAAAAGCTGACCTCATCATCCACCTCAATTACTGTGCCGGGTCCCAGACAAAGGCAAGTGCCACCACGTGAAGCTCCTTGCACACAGGGCACTGTGGCCTCTCATGACAGGCAACGGAGTCAGTGCCACGGAACCCAGCGGCTTCGCTAGCTGTGAATTAGGAGAAGGCGCGCTCCCAGCAGACTCCAGGATAGCATCAGAGAAACCCAAACAGCAGTCATGGTGTGAAGTTAGACCCCCAAAACCTTAGGGGCCAGCTAATGCACGGTGGCTCTTGCACCGTGCATTGCTGGCTCTTGCACAGTGCATTGCTGGCTCTTGCACGGTGGCAGAGGTTGACTTAGAACATTCAGATTTATTATTGCCTTTGTGCATTTGCCATATGTGGTAATTCTTCAGCTACAGAAAAAAGGAGTTTTAAAAAACAGCCGTGGCCGGGCTCAGTGGCCCACACCTATAATCCTAGCACTTTGGGTGGCCAAGGCAAGAGGATTGCCTGAGCCCAGGGGTTCAAGGCTGGCCTGGGCAATTTGGTGAGACTTCGCCTCTAATAAAAAAAGAAAAAAATAATAACCTTAATAGAGCCCATTCTGTTCTAAAGCTTTGTGCCACTTCAAGAGCTTGTAATGCCCTATTTTTAAAATAGCTCAAGCCTGTAATCCCAGCACTTTGGGAGGCCGAGGCAAGAGGATTGCCTGAGCCTGGGTGTTCAAGACCATCCTAGGCAACTTGGCAAGACCTCATCTCTACAATTTAAAAAAAAAAAGCTGGGCATGGTGGCGCATGCCTGTAGTTCCAGCTACTTGGAGAGCTGAGGTGGAAGGATCTCCTGAGCCCAGTAGGTTGAGGCTGCATACCACTACACTCCAGCCTGGATGACAAGAGTGAGATTCCAACTCAAAATCATCATCATCAAGCCGGGCTTGGTGGCTCAGTCTGTAATCCCACGCCTTGGGAGGCTGAGGTGAGTGGATTGCCTGAGCCCACGGGTTCAAGACCCACCTGGGCAACTTGGTGAGACCTCATCTCTACAATAAATCAAAAAATCAGCCGGGCGTGGTAGTGCATGCCTGTAATTCCAGCTACTCGGAAGGCTGAGGCGGAAGGATTGCCGGAGCCCAGCAGGTCGAGGCTGAGGTGGCTGGGAGCGGCCACTGCACTCCAGTCTGGGCGACAGAGTGAGACTCCAACTCAAAAAACAAAAAACAAAAAACAAAAATCATCATCATCATATCACACTCTCCCCTCCTTCAGGGAATATGACCCCCTGTGAATACACTAAAGAATCTGGACCAGAGGTTTTTATTTATTTTTATATACTTTTGAAAAGTTCTGGCCCTTTAGGGGAAAGAAACTGGTTTTGTTCTACTTTAATACAGTCCTTCCATGAAACCAGAGAAAGGGAAGTGTAGACAGACAATCAGGACAGGAAGATCATGATCTCCATTTGTAAATTAGTACCAAGGTATTTTCCTGCACGGGATCTCACTTGGTGTTCACACTAGCTCTTTGAGAGCAATGGCATAGCTGCTATTATTCCCATGTAATAGATGAGGAAACCAAGGCACAGAGAGGGTTAGTGGCTTGTCACACACCTTGTGAGCAGTGGAGCAGGGGTTGAACTAAGGGGTTCTGACACCCTTAAGTCCAGTGCTCTTTCTGTGAAAGGTGTCCTTTCAGAGTCTTTTTCAGCCCTGTCACACTGTCAGTTCCAAAGTCTGTGCACATCCCACAGGAACCTGGCGAGGTATGGCTCTATGTGGCCCAACTCCAGTCACCCTCCCAGACTGCCACCCACATCTACCCAGGTCTGTGTTTGAGTGGACATCATCAAAAAGGCTTCTGTCCATTTCACTTGGGGAAGAGGCTTGCAGCTGGAAGTGCACCAACTTGCTGCCCCAGGCCTTTTGTTCTGACCTGACTTTATTCTCAAAATAGCACAAATTGGGCTGGCTGTGGTGACTTACATCTGTAATCCCACACTTTGAGAGGCTGAGGTGGGAGGATCACTTGAGGCAAGGAGTTCAAGACCAACCTGGACAGCATAGCAAGACCCTGTCCCAATTTTTAAAAAAGTCATTAGCTAAGGAAATCAGGAAACTGGATTTAAGAACTCTGTGTTTCTTATCTACCCTCACTACTCCTAATACTCAAATGTTCCCTCCTGTGGTATTCCAGCCTCTGAAACAAACCTGTGAGTATTGCACAATGCAGAACATCCCCTTCCCCAAATGTGAGCTGCCAGATGCTAACGAAGATCTCAAGGAATGCTACCTGATGGAGAACTCCCAGGAACCCGACACCCCCATCGTGGTTTTCTTCCCACTCATCAATGACACCTTCCAAAAGTACAAGGCACCCGGTGAGCTGCCTCTGCGTCTGGTTTTCAGCACTCTCTGGCCTTGGCCCGAGGGCTCCTGTCTTTAGACTCATAGGCTCGGCTAATAGCACCACAGGGAAGGCTGGCTTAGCTCCAGTCTTGGCTTTGGCAAGGAAGCAAAGAGCTCTTCCCCACCTCCTCACCCCCAGGTGCTGGTAATGGTATCCCCTACTCTTTTCTTCCCCTATTCTATATTTTTTGACAGCCGATCACATGCCCGGTGCTGTGTGGCCCTCAAATGGGCAAGCTGCACCCCCACCCCAAAGAGCATGCAGTTGTGCATGTGTGTGTGTGAATATACACACATGTACATGTTTTCATGCCGGTGTGTGTGTCAGTGTGTGCAGGATGGGCCTTGGAGAGAGATATGGAAACAAGTCATTCCAGCCTAACATAGTAAGGGTCTATAATGAGTTTTTCTGCCGCCCCCAGGTGTAGAGCGAAGCCCAGAGGAGCTGGAGCAGGGCCAGGTTGACATTTATGGCCCCAAAACTCCCTATGCCACCAAGGAGCTGACATACACGGAGGCTGCCTTTGACAAGCTGGTGAAGCTCTCTGAGTACAACATCCTGAATAACAAGGACAGGCTCCTTCAGGCCCTGCGCCTAGCAGTGGAGAACAAGAAGCGCCTGAAGAGCCAGTGTCCCTCCTAGGCCCCGGGCAACCTCATCTATTCTGTGTCAGCTTCCACTGTCAGAAGTACCGAACACGGCAGAGTTGCCCAGGCTACCACACAGCCAGATCTACTCTCTGGCAAGGGGTATAGGCAGATTGGCCTGGATTTTCTATCAGAAAATTTAAAAATTTTAAAGTTGAGAAAGACAGATTCAGAGAGAGAGAGGAAATAAAAAGAAGCCATGTTGGGTTTTATACCCACTGGAATTTCTGTAAGCGCTTCCTGCAGAGAAGGCTGTCTGTTAGTCACAGGCTCCTACATATGCCTGAGTGTGGAGAGTAAAAGCCTGGGAAAAGGGCTGGTCCCCCCAGAAACCTCGATTCAGAAGTGGTTGAGGGCTGGCAGTCTCCCTGCTCTTCCGCCCTCTGCTTCCTCAAGTGGTGGACCCAGGAGAAAGCATAGGAGGACCTGGCAGAGGTGGGGAGGGGGTTCTCTGGGCTTCTCTGAAAAAGTGCTTTTTAAAATTTAAGACAGTTATATTCTCATGATTTTTATAGGCAATTGTATTTTGTGATTTTTGTTTTTATGAATCAGGGCATTAAAAGGAAGCATGAGGCTGAAGGTCAAAATGGAGCCCTAGATATATCCTGGTCTCTGCCGCAACAAAGTCAAGTAGGTGCCCGGTTTCACTGGTGCCTCTGCAACCACTCAGAGCTCCAGGACTCGTAGCCGCATGTTCACAATCAGGCAGCCACTAAGCTCCAAAGAAATGCCAGGCAAAGCCCTGGTCTGCAGCTCAGGCTCACTGAATGAGGATCTGGAATGCAGTCCAGCAAGGTTTGGGCAGACTGCAAGTAAATGGAGTCAGGTCAGGCGGGGGACACTGTCCAGTGCTACATCCTCTAAGAGTCACCGCTCACTGACCGACCTGCTCTGAGAGCATCTCTCAGCCTCTTGACACTCTATCTTTCTGATTGACAGAGGGGATTATTTATTTCTGCATGTGATTCCTCTTTTCTGTCATGTAAACACTGTGACCAGTGCATCTCAGCTCTTAGAGTCACCCACAGAGAATGAAACTAGAAAAAATCAACTCAAAAAGGACTACCCATCTGAAGAAGAAGCCCATCCATGGAGTTGGTTTCCCAGTGAATCTCAGGAAAAGCCCTGGGAAGCAGAGAAGCCCAGTGGAAATAAGCAGGTTTCCCTTCAGGCTGGAAACAGCCAAAGAAATGTGTAAGCCGTTGATAGGCCCAGCCCATAGAAGGTGAAGTCATGTGGCCCATGGGAAGTCCAGCAAACCTGGAAGATGTGGTCCTCTTTCTGCATCTCCATGCTCCCTAAGCAGTCCTTCGCTTGTGAGCATGTGAGCGGTGACAGGTAACAGAAGTTTAGAAAAACTGGCTTCTGATTGACATCCTTGCTACTCAAAGTGTGGTGGGGGAACTGCTTTGAAATGCAGATTCTCAGGCCTCACCCTGGCCATACTGAATCAGAATCTGCATTTTAAGGAGATTCACATCCCCACTGTTCAGGTGGTCCCTATGCATATTCAAATTGAGAAGTTTAGATTTATGCCACTCTCTCCCATAAGCTTGGAAAGCCTGAATCACTGCTATCTTGAGCCACTGATAAGCTAGGCTTCTGGACCTGCAAAACAAGTCCCCACCCAGGTAGTGTCAACCTGGGATGCCACCCCTTCCCTCTACCAGAGGGAAGATGGCCATGTCTTGGATTCATCAAAGTATGTAAAATAAGGTTTATAAAACCATTGTACTTTTTGAGCACAGAATAAAATGGCCATGTGGGTAAATGATGTTGACTCATCTGCTTTCATTATCTGAGGCTGCAAAATATGCATGAGTCCTACCCTCATCCCTGTGGAACTTCTCAGTCCTCTGGCCAGGCTTCCTACTCACCACCACCTGCTAGAGGTGTGAGGAGGCCATTTCTACCCCATCCTTCCTCTCCTCCGACAGCATCTCCTGCAGCAGGGTCCCACCTTTTCATGGCGAGATGCTCCTCTGTTTGTATGAAGCCATGTCATCGACTAGTAGACACTAACTCATGCACATCCATTCTGTTCCAAGCTCAGCCAGAATGCAGGACACACCGAGTGTCCCTCTCTCCCCCATGTCCCTCCTCCTTGTTCTCGCTTTCCCTCCCAAGAGAGCAGCCAGCACCCCACCCACTGCCAGATGCCCAACAAACATCAACGGAGCACCTACTCTGTGCACAGCAATGGCAATGAACATCAACGGAGCACCTACTCTGTGCACAGCAAGTGTGAACAGTCTCTACTTTCCAGGGGCTTGGATTTTGAGGGGAAAAAATGAGAAGATACATGAGACATAAATGGTGACTTAGCTACTAAAATGACACAGGTGTCATCAACTTGGAGAGGGCAAGCACGTGTTGTCCTGCAGTGGTCAAGGAAGGCTCCCTCTCGGGTTCCCTTCTCTCAGCCTATAAGCACAATTAAGTTGAAGAAATAAATGAAATCCCTCCCTCCCCCATGTCCCCCTGCCTTGTTCCCACTTTCCCTCCCAAGAGAGCATCCAGCACCCCACCCACTGCCACATGCCCAACTACCCTGTCCTATAGCAAGTTTTCTGCTCCTACCTACTCATGGAAAACTCCCCACAGTCACCAAGGTCCTCTTTGCCAGAGGCATTGAGTCAAATGCCACCAGCCCTTGTACAGGCCTTATCTGACTTGATTGTTCCCAGCATTTGGCACCACAGACCACTCCCTCCTTCCTGGAACCCTCCCTTCCTGTGACTTCCTTGCCAACAGCAGTGCAGTTCCGTTCAGCTTACAAATAATTATTGCCTGCCCATTACATGCCAGTTCCTGCTCTAGGCACTGCGACAATAAAAAGGATGAACAATTGACCCAAAACTTCAAGGAGCTTCCTTTTGGTCCCATGGGGAGGCCCACATGGAAACTGAGCCTTGCAATACCAAGAGAAAGCTGAAGAGGCCAGGTTTACCAAATACCTTCTGTCTTGGATTTCTTCTCACTGAAAGAGGGGAGCCCCTGCCTGGTCTCTTCTCCCTTGGGCTCCTTTCACTGCTAGTATTCCTTGAGCTTCCTTAGCTCTTTCCTTTTCTCACTCTATACTCTCCTAAAGCAATCCATCCATACTCAGGACTTCAGCTACTGCTTCTGTGTTGAACCTTTTAGCTCTAGCTGACTCAGTCTCCTGAGTTCAAAACTGATATATTCAAATTCTGTATCTATTAGCATTACCCTCTGGTGGGGATGGCTTGTGCCTATAATCCCAGCACTTTGTGAGGCTGAGGTGGGAGGATTGCTTGAGCCCAGGAGTTTGAGACCAGCCTAGGCAATATAGTGAGAACTCACCTTTACAAAAATTTAAAAAATTAGCCTGGCACGGTGTACTTGGGAGGCTGAGGCAGGAGGATGGGCTGAGCCCAGGAAGTCGAGGCTGCAGTGAACAGTGATTGTGCCACACTGAACTCTAGCCTGGGCAACCAAATGAGACTCCAACTCAAAAAAAAAAAAAAAATTGCTTTCACTATATAACCTAAAGATCCAAAATCACAGTGGCTTAAACAAGACATAAATTTATCTCTCTATTTCTTATCAGAGACCCAGGTTCCTTTCAGCTCTCTTCTGCCATCCTCAAGATATCTCTTGTCCAGTATTGCTGCAGGAGCTCCATCTATCATGTCCACATTCCAGGCAGCAGGGAGGATAAAGAAGTCTGAGTTCCTACTGACTATGAAGTTACCAAGCCAGCCCTGGACTGCCTACTTCTAAACTTCTTTTCTGTGAAAGAGAACTAAACATACAGTAAGAATCCCCAGCTGTTCAGCTATCTATTGCTGAGCAACAAAACCCCTCTGGGTATGATAGCATAAAATAGCCACCATTTTATAGCCACCACAAATTCTGTGGGTCAGGAATTTGGAAAGGGCCCAGCACAGACAACTCTTCTCTGCCCCATGTTTGGGGCCTTAGCTCAAATGACCTGAGCTGCTGGGGAGGACTCAAATGGCTGGGGTCTGGACCAGCCGGGGGTGAAGGATCCACTTCCAAGATGACTCCTTCACTCCAATGTCTGGAGCCTGGGCTGGGAAGTCTGAGAAGGAGGAAAGGCAGGCTCAGTTAGGGCTATCAATCAGCACACCTTGATGTGGTCTCCCCAGCATGGACTCACAGCACCCAGTACTCTTAAGAGTGAGTGTGTGGCTGGGCTCAGTGGCTCAGCCTGTCATCCCAGCACTTTGGGAGGCTGAGGCAAGA